CACCCCAAGTGACTTTTTTCTTTTGTTTACCCTGATGAAAAAAGTCCTAAAAGGGAAACATTTTGCCAATGTGGAAGAGGTAAAACAAAAAATGGCAGAAGCAGTAAAAGACATCAAAATTGACACGTTCAAAACTGGTTGGAAAAAAAAAAGACTGGCGCAGTGGAAATAGTGTCTTGCATCAAATGGAGAGTCCTTTGAAGGTGACTGAAGTTTAAAAAGATAAGAATAAATACACAATTTTTAAATAAGTAAATTCCAGGCTTTTTTGGGTTCCCCCTTGTAGAGTCACAGTGATAGACACAAGATGGATTGTCTCATTTCCTGGTCCTATTTGCTCTGTGGATAAATCCAGAGTGTGAAACATTCTGTCCACATCTCTGGAGGACTCTAGAGTGTTTTTTGTGTTTGTTACTAACCACTGGTTACCATTTTCCTCCTCTCCCTTCCTGTCTCTGGTGATCTGGCTAAGACAGGACGAGGTAGGGCTCTGGAAGGCTGGCTAGCCGCCTCCCAATTTCCAGAGCTGAGATATTCATCCTGGGCGTGCCACCAACACCAGGGTCCTCAGCTCTGGGGCTCTCAAATCTCATCGGCACACGGAGACACGACCATCCCTGTGGGTGGCCTGGCATTCACCGAGGTATCAGTGGCTTGTTTCCTATAGACACACTTGTCAAGTTTCAGAAAGCAACACAACTGTCAAAAGAGAGAATGCAGCCGGGCTCAGTGGCTCAGCCTATAATCTCGCGCCTTTGGGAGGCTGAGGTGAGTGGATTGCCTGAGCCCGCGGGTTCGAGGCCCGCCTGGGCAGGGAGACCTCATCTCTACAATAAATCAAAAAATCAGCGGGGCGTGGTAGCGCATGCCTGTAATTCCGGCTACTCGGAAGGCTGAGGCGGAAGGATCGCCGGAGCCCAGCAGGTCGAGGCTGCGGTGGCCGGGAGTGGCCACTGCACTCCAGTCTGGGCGACAGAGTGAGACTCCAACTCAAAAAAAAAAAAAAAAGAGAGAGAGAATGCCTGATTGGGCCAGGCACCGTGGCTCACACCTGTCATCCCAGCACTTGAGGCTGAAGTGGGAGGATCACTTGAGACCAGGAGTTCAAGACCAGCCTGGGCAACACAGTGAGACCTTGTGTCTATTTTTGAAAATTAAAAAAATTAAACAATAAAACAAAAAAAGAGAATGCCTGAACTGTCAGAAGTTTGGTGAGCAAGGAATCCGAACATGAGGAGTGATTTGATTCAAGCAGTGTTTCCAGCTAGGATAGACTGAGGGACTGCAGGGGTGATGTTGCCAAGCAACTCAAGATGTTAGTGTTTAATCTAAATTTCTTTCCCTCAGGAAACACTTCCATAATTTTTGCCAATATTTCCTTCCTCTGGGACACCGTTTTATCCCTTGCCTCTGCGGTTGATCATCTCCTATTCACGTGGCTTTTGTTCCAAACATTAGTCTGATACACTTGATTCTCCTTGCAGAAGAATCAAGGAGATACAAGGATTCTCCTCACAGTCAAATGCCAGTTCTGTCCCCTGCTCTCGGTCACCTTGATTGAAATTTTCAGTGTTCACAAACATTCCCTTTATGCATTTTTAAAGACCGTCTTTGGAGTTTATTCCCACAGTTGGAAAGGCAGATGCAGCGATATGGATACTTTTGTTTATTCACTCATTCATTCACTGCATGAATATTGAATATATGTCCCCTCTGTGTCGGGTGCTGTGCTGGTCATTGGGATAACAGCGTTAAGACAGGCATGGACCCACCCTTCTCAGCACTGATGTTGAGTGTGGGGAGTTGCTTCCCTCCGTCTCTGGATGCTATGATGGCTCCTGCCACCGTTGGACGCTATGATGGCTCCTGTCACCGTTGGAGCCCAGAGGGCAAAACCTCGGGGATGGTCACTGATGTCCATCCATGTTGGTCAATTTTTCTTGCTGGTGGCCCCACAGACTACGTGCTTGCGTTCCAGAGAGTGGGGGAGGCGGGGAGCCGGGCCTGTCCCCAAGTTTGGGCTGAGGGCAGCCAGGGCTGTGAGAGCATGCATAATGCCACCTTCTGAGGCTGTTGGGACTGAGGATCCCATTCCCCCAACTTCTGGCTGCTCTAGCATGTCGTTGTTCTAAATTTTTTTTAGAGATAGAATTATGCTCTGTCACCCAGGTTGGAGTGAGGCAGCATGATCTTGTCTCACTGCGGCCTTGAACACCTGATTCTCTTGCCTCAGCCTCCTGAGTAGCTAGCTACAGGTGTGCCACCACGTCCAGCCTTTTTCTTATCTCACTGTGTCGCCCAGCCTAGTCTCAAACTCCTGTCCTCAAGCAACCCTCATACCTCAGCCTCCCAAAGCACTGTGATTACAGGCATGAGCCACTGTGCCCGGGCCCCATTTCTCATTCTTGTTGTAGCCCTTTTGTCTTGGACTCACCACTCCTAAACCTCCACCTACAATACACACATTGACTTTTTTCACCTTAGAATGAATTTTTCTTCTCAGAAAAAAATTTTTTTTGGTGGCTCACTTCTGTAATCCAGGCACTTTAAAAGACTGAGGCTGGAGGATTGCTTGAGCCCAGGAGTTTGAGACCAGCCTGGGCAACATAGCGAGACCTCATCTCTACAAAAAAAAATAAAGCTAAAAATTAGCCAGGCAGAGTGGTGTGCACCTGTCGTCCCAGCTACTTGCCTGTAGTCCCGGCTACTTGGAAAACTGAGGCAGAAGGATCACCTGAGCCCAGGAAGTCGAGGCTGTGATGATTGGTGATTGTGCCACTGCATTCCAGTTTGAGCAACAGAGTGAGATCTCCACTCAAAAAAAAAAAAAAGAAAAGCAGTTTTTCTTTTCCCCTGCTGTAGACAAGAGTCCTGGCCTGCCTTTCCATCACTGCTTCACATATATGAATATATCCTAAATCCTTCATGAACAAAAATTAGAGTCATGTCGACGCACCTGCCACTGATAAGTTTAATTCTATTAACAAAATATACATATGGCTCCCGAAAGAACATTAATCCAGAGCTCAGAAAAAGGACCTTGCATGATAAAAGGAAGGGCAAGGGAGAATGAATGAAAAAGGGAGGGAAATGAAGGTGGACGACCAGACTACAGAGTGAATTCTAGTGCAGAATTCAAGATGTCAAGTCATGCACAATAAATGCTTAATGGTTAGAAAAATGAGGCACAGATAAAAGTAAGTAGTGATTTACAGTTTTCTAGAGATTCTGGCGCACTTGTAGAGTACATGTGATACAAGCATAACATCAGTTCTAGGCTGAATGAAGAGAAACAAGGGTGTTCATTGCCAAGCGATACCATGTAGCTGGGATATGCTACCAGTACTGGAAGCAAGATCTTATGAGCATTTACAAATTTACTTTATATTTCCAGGGATAGAAATGTCATTTCTTCAGAAATCTCAGATGGCTAGGTCGGGCCACATGAACCGTTTCTGAAATTCACATGAGAAAATGACAGTACAGAAATTGCTTATTCTGAATGTCGCAGACTGCGGCATCAGCTGGGAGGTTATCCTGAGACAGGCTTCCCATTAGCAGAGGCAGGCCACATGCTGGGAGCAGGGGCCCCGCTGGGAGACAGCCCGCTGGGAGATGGGCACTGGATTGGTGGTATTGCAGGCTCTTTGCGTTTGTGGTTTCAGCAACAAGCTGCTGAATATGTGAAATGAGGCAGGTACACCAACGACCTCTTGTAGCTTGGGGCTGCATATATTTAAAGCGTTTAAAGTGCTTGCAAATGGGAGCTCTGGGTTCATCCTTTCTGTCCTTCCTATGTGTTTAATCAGTTACAAGGTGGCTCTCTGCTTTGTAAAGCAAGGACCAGGAGTCCCATCTTTATGTTTAGACAAAAGGGACATGTCAGAGGCGCTACTGTCAAGAGGAAAGAGGAACAGCCCAGGGCCGGGAAGGCAATGGCTTCCTGAGCTAAAGCTCCTACTATAGTGTGAATTGTGTGCCCCTCAGCAAAGATCCTCTTGTCCAGAGAAGGTGATGTGTGTGGACAACTGAACTCTAGAAGGGGAAAAGGGCTTGGACAATTTCCACAATGTCCTTCGCATCCCAAGAGTCTGACCTGGATGAAACGAGATGATAGGGGTCAAGGTCGAAGACAGAAATGATCCCACGACAGTGGAGACCTACTCCATGTGGAATTCAAAAATAGTACGAAATATTATTTGAGTCATGTTGCCTTTTTCTGTGGTGAGTAATAAAAATTCAATGGCCCAAATAAGGAAAATAAATGTATTGTCTCCAGGATACGGGATCAGGCAAAGCTGGATCCTGCTATGGAAAGAGTATTATCAGGAACTCGACTTACTCCAACACTTGATTTGGTTTGTTTCTTGGGGTTGGCTTTATTTTTAGGCTCTTTCCAGAGTTGAGCTTTTTATATTCTACCACCTTCACAACATCAGTGGAGAGTATCTTTCTTTTCTAATAGATCCAAAAACAGTTTTTAAGTTGATGCTCATGGGCCCAGGTTGGGACATATATCTTTCCCTGCACCCAATGTGGTCACTCTGATCAATACTCTTTTCCCTCTGTCGGGTTAGACTCAACCTCACCCACACCAGCAGACTGAGAGTGCCAGAGGGATGGCACACTGTTATTCTATGAGAAAACAAAACAGAAATCAACACAAAAACAAAAAACAGAAAGATAAAGCAAGTGGAAAGACATTCCATGTTCTTGAGTAGAATGACTTAGCCTCTTAGAAGTGTCAGTTCTCTCAAGTTAATATGTAAATTCAAGGCCAACTCCTCCAAAGTCACCAATGAATTTTCTCTTAGAGCTAGACAAGTGGAATCTAAAGATAATTTGAAAAATAGGGGCGCGCGCCGTGGGCGGTGGATTCAAAGTTTGGACCTGGGCCTCGGGGCCTGCTGCGGGTCCGAGGGGCCGCGCGGTGGCTGTGAGCTTGTGTGCGGGGAGGACCTCGGATGCCCAGACGGCTGGTCCCTGAGTTGGGGGGGTGTATGGCGTTCTTGACCACAGTCCCCCAGAGGAAGCGGGTCAAGTGGAAGGCTCCCCGCAGCTTTCTCAAGCGGGTCTTCAAGCGACGGAAGCCTCACCTCCGTCTGGAGAAGAGTGGCGATTTGCTGGTCCATCTGAACTGCCTACTGTTTGTTCCTGGATTAGCAGAAGAATCCAGGACAAATACTTGTGAGAATAAGTGTGGAATTATTAATAAGGAGCATATATTGACTGCAGCAAAGGCAATTCTAAAGAAGAGCAGAGGTTAGAAGTCAAAGAACACATTCTTGAAAATTCTGTGATGTATTATTTTCAGTGGTAACAACTCATAAAGGCATTTTTGCATATCAGTTAATATTATAGATTATTAAAATATTGACTAGTTAAAAAAACACAAATAAATAAAACAAGAACAACTAGGTAAATGCTAGCATGAAGAGAAATAAAATAAACTAGGCTTTCTTCTCCATTACTGTTTCTGATAATACTTATTACACACAATAGAGCAAACAGGGCTCCCTCCATGTTTTCATGTGTGTGTGTGTGCATAGTTTATCTCTAGGGTATCTCCTTAGGAGGAAAGGGAATTAGTGGGTTGAGCATATGTGAATTCACTAAGTAGTTCTTTTTGGGGGTAATTTCTAACGGTTTAAAAATTTAACTACAAGCCGGGCTCGGTGGCTTAGCCTGTAATCCCGCGCCTTTGGGAGGCTGAGGTGAGTGGATTGCCTGAGCCCGGGGATTCAAGACCCGCCTGGGCAACTTGGTGAGACCTCATCTCTACAATAAATCAAAAAATTAGCCGGGCGTGGTAGTGCGCACCTGTAGTTCCAGCTACTTGGAAGGCTGAGGCGGAAGGATCGCTGGAGCCCAGCAGGTCGAGGCTGCGGTGGCCGGGAGTGGCCACTGCACTCCAGTCTGGGCAACAGAGTGAGACTCCAACTCAAAAAATAAAAATTAAAAAATAAAAAATAAAAATAAAAACTTAACTACAGTGAGATTATTATACATATTTCTGTATAAATATTTTCCGAACACATTTTATAGAGTGATCAAAAGCACTGGGAATGATAGAATCCATCCTACAAAATGAGAGTTGAGAGTTGAGCTCCTATAAAATAACAATTAATATAATTATAATTATATTAGTGAAAATGTAAACGTAATATTCCTTGTGATGCAATTAATCGAAACTCCCATCTCTTTTCTGCAGGGAAGTCTTGTAACTGTCACTGGCCCTTGTCTTCTTCTTTAATTACTTTAGCTCTCTGTGGTCCATGGTTTTCCTTCTAGTCCTCCTCCCATCCTTCTTGAATTGAGGTCCGTTGTATCAACGATTTACTGCTTAAAAAGAATCCAGCCGGGCTCGGTGGCTCAGCCTGTAATCCCACGCCTTTGGGAGGCTGAGGTGAGTGGATTGCCTGAGCCCGCGAGTTCGAGACCCGCCTGGGCAACTGTAGAGGCGTAAATGAAAAAATTATTAGCCAGGCGTGGTAGCGCGCAACTGTAGTTCCAGCTACTTGGAAGGCTGAGGCAGAAGGACCACTGGAGGCCAGCAGGTCGAGGATGGTGGCCGGGAGCGGCCACTGCACTCCAGTTTGGGTGACGGAGTGAGACTCCAACTCAAAAAAAGAAAAGAATCCTCAGCCTCTCTGAGGATTCTTTTTGCATCTATACTCGAATGAGTTTTCTGTTTTAAGTAGTGCTTGGCACACAGGAGACCCTCTGTTCTGCTAGTCTTCATCAGCGGTAGTTTAGAGCTCTAACTACTCTGGCCTTATTTGCATAGCACCCTGCAAAGTCGCATGCTGGAACTTCCAATGCACATTTGGAAATAGCATTGCTAAATGGTTTTAACAAAAATACTAGGATCTCCTGAGGAAAAAAAAAAGACTACAAGTCAAAAATACATATGCCAAGAGGAGCAGTTTGTCGTTGACAATCCATATTACATCTTATATTTGATAGTTTCTAATCAAACATTTGTTTTTCAAGAACACACTCTGTTTTCAAACAAGTGAAATATATATCCCAAGAAAGAAAGATTTGAGAGCCATCACTTAATCGTGCTGTGCTAATTGGTCCATGTATTAACCGTGACCAGCACTAGTTTTGAAGTTCATTCCAGAATATTATTCTGAGAATTGTGCAAATCAGGGTAGAACTTTATCATTCAATGTATACTTTCCAGTGAATTTTAATGTTCGCATAGCTTTCTATGTGTATTAGTTGTTTGCTATTGTGTAACAAGTTACCCCACATTCTTGTGGCATTGAATAATATTGACCACCATGCATTTTCCTGCTTCAGGAATGAGGTGACTGGGGGTGCTGAGGCTGAGTCTGCCATCCCTGGGGCGGCAGCCTGTGAAGGCTTGGCTGAGGCTGGATGATCCCCTTCTAAGCAGCTCACTTAACATCCTGGCAAGTGGCTTCTTGATGTGTGGGCCTCTCCAGAAAACAGCTTGAGTAATGGTCTGCAGAAATGTGAGCCCTGCAGCAAGCACACCAGAGTCTCCATGTGGGATTTTCAAAACTTCAGCTTCTGTCCTGAGATTCGTATAGGCGACTCCCTTGAGCCTACAGGTATGACGTGGGAAAGGTTAACAACTAATGCTGTATGGAGTAAAAGGAGTTACTTGTATGTTATGACTTTTGAAATCAAGTTCACTGGCATTATGTTGCCAATTTTTGGGTCTTATTCGAAAACTATATTACGTCAGTCCAGTGAGGTGATCATTATTATTTTTTGCGACTTATAGATCAGAAAACTGAGAGAGAATCTGCTTAGGTGAGTGTTCCATGGAGCTGAAATGTGAATTTAGGCAGTTGACTCTGAAGCTTGTACTCCTAAAAAATTAAATTACACGATACTGTCTTCTCTTTGAATTTTATTTATTTACAAAATAAAAAACCCTACAATTTATGGTGATAATTTTGAATGTGTAATAAAGTAGAATAATTTTCTGAACCAACATAAATTTAGCATCCAGCTTCACTGGCAATGCATGGCTTTCCTATCTCATCCTCACCTTCCTCTCCTTACTGATCTTGAAGGCAATCTCACACATCATAGGGTTTCATCTAAGAATGTTCCAGCCTGACTCTCTAAGAGATAAGGGCTTTTTGAAACATAAACACTATCAGGCAAAAAGATGAATACTAACTTTCTATTATCATCAAATATTCATTTAATGTTTAAATCTCTAATTGCTTCATAAATATCATCCCTTAAAAACATTTTCATTTGAATCACGATTCAAATAATGTCACACAATGTGATTGATTTGATTTATGTATCTTTCAATTTTACTTTAACCTATGTGTTCCCTTCTATTTTTTTTTTGCCATCAATGAATATGTACTTCTAGAATTTATCTATTATGAACACTGCTGCAGTAAATCTCCTTGTATTTATTTTTCTGAGAATTGATGTTTCATACAATTTTTTGTTGAAGTTTTTTAATACTAGTTTTTAAGAATTCTTTAAGTTTTTTTCTTTCTTTTTCTTTTTTTTTGTTTGTTTTTGAGTTGGAGTCTTGCTCTTGCCTAGGCTGGAGTGCAGTGGCATACTTACGGCTACCCCAGTGTCGACCTGCTGGGCTTCAAAGAACCTTCTCCCTCAGCCTTCCAAGTACAGGCGTGTGTTACATGTCTGGCTAATTTTTTGATTTATTGTAGAGACGAGGTCTCGCCAAGTTACTTGGGCTGGTCTTGAACCCCTGGGCTCAGGGAATCCACTTGCCTTGGCCTCCCAAATTGCTGGGATTACAGGCTGAGCCACCGATCCCAGTCTCTTTAGGTTTTTTAAATGTTAAAAAATTATTTTCTGTTACAAATATTTGTCTTCAATTTGTTACTATTTTAATCTTTTTGTTTTTTTTCCCTACAAAAGTAAAATTTGTGTGTAGTCAAAATGTCAATTTTTCAAATTATAATCTTGGGTTCAACATCTTGTTTGGAAAGACCATTTCCATGCCAATATCATTAAAAATAAATCACATATATTTTGAGGACATTCATTTTTAACTTTTAAAAAGTTGTACTTCTTTTTTTTTTTTTTTCAGTTGTAGTCTCACTCTGTCGCCCAGGCTGGAGTGCAGTGGCACACTCACAGCCACCCCAGCATTGACCTGCCGGAATCTGGAGATCCTTCTGCCTCAGCCTCCCAAAGTAGCCGGAAGTACAGGCATGTGTTACCACGCCTAGCTAATTTTTGATTTATCATAGAGACGAGGTCTCACCACATTGCCTGGGCTCAGGCAATTCACTTGCCTCGGCCTCCCAAAGTTCTGGGATTACAGGCTGAGCCACCAAGCCCGGCCAAAAGTTTTACTTATTTGGTTTACTTCAGTATAAGGGATCTAGTTTTATTCTTTCAAATGCATGCCGTTCATACTAATGCTATATATTAGCTTTTCTGTCTTTTTCCTTAAAGATTCGAGATGCCACCTTTACCACACTCTACATTCTCCTGATATTTCTCCCCCACCACTTTTTGCTTGCAGTTTATTTGTTAAGGACACCGGGCTTTAGAGTTTCCCCAAACTCGATTTCTTGCTTGCATCCCTGAGGTGTTCTTTAACCTGTTCTATTGTGTTCTATCTTCTCTGCAAATGGTGGCTGAATCTTGAAGGCTGATTGGATTCATGGCTTGACTTTTTCAACAAGATTTCTTCATAGATGTTGAGGTGTTCTGTCAGCAGGAACATTGTGTCTGGATGTCTTTCTGTTTTGGGGATAATAGCCATCACTTACAATCAATTCCTAGATTTTGTAATTCATAGAGGTTGCAAGGTGGTAATATTCTAATACTATAGCATTCCTTGTTTGCTTATTAGCTAGCTAAAGTGTTTCAGGAGAAATGCCTGACATCTACTATTTGGCTACCCAGTGGTTCAGTTCATGTGGGAAATGTGGGACAAATGCTAGATTATTTCCCTTTATCTCCCAGTTTTCAAAATAATGACATGTCTAGAAGATGACCAATATAATTTTAAAAGCATCATTATGAACACATGGGTTTAAATATATTGCTGTGTTTTAATCCATTAAACCTGTTATTCTTAAGATGCTTAAACTTTCCCATCTTTAGCCAGCAAGAACCTCTTTAAATTTGCTTTAGAATTCTTTTTTGCTATGACTGACAACAGTAATTTTTAATTTGATATGATAAAATTTTCTAGGCTTATCTTACTTATCTTTTGCCCATGACTTGAACTTAGGGATTTTTTTCAAGGGTGGGGCAGTCACGGGGGTTCAGTGAGATA